ATAGGAAGTATGCTTTCTGATCATAATGAAAGCAAAGTATTTTAGTATGGAAAGATAACAGAAAAAAGTCCAAATGCTCAGAAATTAAATGACATGCTTCTAAATATTAATGGGTCAAAACAGAATTCTCCACAAAAATTAGAAAAGATTTTAAAATGAACAAAACTGAAAATTCAGAGTATCAATATTTATTCGAAACAGCTAAAGCAGCGTCTAATGGAAACTTTCTTGAAATCAATGTTAAACTTTGTGAGAAAGAAGAAAAATCTCAAAAATATAAAATTCTAATTTAAGAAGTTGAAAAAGAAGATCCCAATAAGTCCAAAGGAGGTTAGGAAATCTGATCAGAAATAATGAATTTGAAAAAAGAAAAACAACAGAGAAGAAAAGTGAAATAAAAATCTGAGGTATCCTTAAAAGATAAATGAAATTGATGAATCTCTGGTAAGACTGGCAAAGAAAAGGCAGGTTACTAACATAAGAAATGAAAATAGATAATATCATTATAGATCTTACAGACATTAAAGGGATCAGAAAGGAAAATTCCAAATAATTATATGGACATGCATTAACAACTCTGATTGATTTCTCAAGTCACAACTTATCAAAACTCACCCAAGATAAATAATCTCAATACAGTCCTATACTATTAAAGAAACTAAATTCATGCCAGGTACAATGGTGAGTCCCAGCAACGCAGGAGGCTGGGGCAGGAGAATCATGAGTTCAAAGCCAGCCAGCAGATTAGTGAGGCACTTAGCAACCTAGCAAAACCCTGTCTCTAAATAAAATATAAAAAAGGGCTGGGTCTTAGTGGTTAAGCACCCCTATGTTCAATACCAAACAAACAACAACAAAAAAAGGAAACTGAGCTCCCCCAAAAGGAATCTTAAGCCCAGACTGTTTGTTTGGTAAATTTCATCAAATGTGAAAAACAAATATATAAATATTAACATTACACAATCTAAAAAAAAAARAAAAAGAAAAAAAAATACTTCACTCAAAATAGAAATACAGAAATCACACTATAGAACATGAAGAATAGGATCTCTAGGATTAAAATGACTACAAATCATTACTAATATCATCTCTCAACGGTGGGATTGACACTTGCTTTGAACCGTGGTTTTTTCACCTATCTTTCAAAGTCTGAAGCTCTGGGAWCTAAAACAGAATTCTGTCACATCATTTTAGTTACTACAGATGGTGCTGCAGCAAAACTTTCATTTCTCTGTGTGTGTGGCATGCTCATTTGAGTCCATGCACATACGCATATGTGTGTTCGAGTGTGTCCTTTATATCTTAGTTGTTTTATGGAATAAATACCTAGGACTGGAACTTAATGGCCAAAGGGAAGTTTCTTAAAAATTAAATAAGAATGGACAAATTACCCTCCAATATATCAATTTATGCTCCCACCAAGAATGAAAAGACTATTTTTCAGCAATCTCACCAGCATTAACTATTATCATCTAAACCTTTGTTGATCAGAGACATATGATAAATATGTCATTGTTTCAACCCATACAATTTTTATTAGTTGAGAAGTTGGAAATATTATGTCCATTTAACCTTTGTATGTTCATCATGTGTAAATTACCTATAAATTACCGTTGCCTATGGGGGAAATTCAAATTCCTCGTTAATTTTTAAGCATTCATTTTGTTAGGTTGTTAAACCTTTATCATTAATTGTAATTTTTAAAATTTATATTATTTTTATATATAAAATTTTTAGCCAGATTTTTTTCAGTCTTATCTTTTAAAACTTCCAAGCTTCACATTATATATTTTTATAACAATAGTTACCACATTTGGACTACTTTTCCCCTTTCCAATTTTGATCAATTTTAGTCATATTTCAAGGTCTAAATATAAATCACCATCTCTTTAAACTATTGCCATTCTTTCTCTGGTAGACTAACTCATTACTTTCTAATGTATCTTTTTAATATACACATATATCTGAGTAGCTTTTGTAGGCAATTTTATTCACATTTGCCTTTAATGCTGCATTCCTGCCTTTGTAAAGTAAGAGACTATGATTTTTCCATCTGCCCATAAACATCACAGCATATAGTAGGTGCTAAATAGTTACTGTGGTTACACCAGTATGCACGACTGAAATCATGTAAATTTTGTGTCATTTAAGAGGCAGGGTATTATGCTAGGTGCTACAGCCTAAGCCTTTCCAGATATCTGGTTATTGACCTGTTGATATGTAGAAGTGAAAGCCCTTCACATTTATCTGGAATCATGCAACAAGAATTTGCAAAAATAGATCATGTTAGATAATTACCACTCAACTTCCTAGGGAAAAATCTAACATGTTTTAAAAGGTTTTCCTCCATGTGCAGGAAATATACAAATGCAAAAATTAAGAGTAATGTGGCCAGTACCAATCATTTCAAGTTGTTCACCTTTTGAAGATAGGATAGTCAGGCTTACACATATTACAAGTAATATAAAGCTGAGATATAAAGTAATTTATTAGGTGATAGACTCAAAAACCAACAAGGTCTTGAAAAGATAAATTAAAATAGGATTGTTTGAGACACCTTTGTTTACTGTCCCCAAGAATTTCGTTTTCAGTGACATAGAACAAGACACAAAGACAATTCCCTATAATTCATTTCAACTCTCCCTTGTTAATCAGAATAAAACATTTGTGATTCCATCATGACTAGTTATTAAGGTAAAGTTTATATGAAAAATCAACACAAAATGGAATGAATTTCCCAATGTCAATATTTCTGTCATTAATAAGCTGACACGTCTTTTCATGTCCAAGGGCTGAATTTCTTGCATAGGAAGAGAATGCTTGGCTGAGATTCCCAACTTAATAAAATGTTATACTGATGAGGAAGTTAATTCATGTGCAGATTTTGGAAACTATTTAGCAAATGTACACAGAAAAGTGAAAATCTGCTATTAAGTAATAGAAGAAAAAATCCTCACATCCTTTGTAGCAACAGGCTAGAATGATGAGGAAAAAGGTGGCTTTTAATTTACAAACAGTAAAACTAATTAATAGTATCCTGAGCAAGTCTACCCTTTTACTTCTGCTGCTGAGGACTATTATGACYTAGCCCCATCTCTGTGATGGTAACATGTAGATACACACGATATGAAGATACTGGAAGAGTTCTAAGTCAAGGGAAGACCCAGGATTCACATAGAAGAAATGTCTCAGTTCTTTGGAGACAAAATCAGGGCCACCACAGATAGGCAAGCTCCTCTTTTCAGTCAAGTTCATTCTTGCTCTAATTTCACACACCTTTCCATACCATTGCCCCAAGGAGCCTATTTTGTTTCCTTCACCCTATTTCATTTTTTCCAGCTGTTTCTGAATTCCCTATTATAGGGACCTACTATATAACCTCAAGCACTAGGCATGATGAAATATGGCCCCTGACCTTTAGAAACAGAGAAATAAACAATTCAGACTGGTTGGAATGTATATGAAAGGGATTCACAGAGAAGGAGGACAAATAGGACAATGAAGGACAGATAATAATTGGATGGAGAGGAGAAAAAAATGGAAATGGTATTTTCAGGGAGAACATTTCCAAGAATACAAAGAAGTTAAAAACAGCATGACACTTTAAGAAACCACATGATTCAGTATGTAAAAAGATAATAATAATAGAAATAGAACCTTAAATGCTTGTGATCCTCCACTTTAAACTTATAAGTCTTTACCTACTTCTATGAATCCAATAGTAACAGTGGAAAATCTCAACAGAAAATACAAAGACAGTTTTGCCAAAGTAGGTACTACCCATCAAAATGCAATATTTTATGTAAACTGAGAATATCCTAATTTTAAGTTACTGTCAGTCAAATAAGAGTTTACACATCTTCATGTTCACTTATAATGCATTCAAGACCCCGAGTGACCTAACACTTGGAATTATCTGACAACTTCAGTAGTCCAAAGATAACTGGGAACAAATCTGTATTGAAATGAAAAGGGCCAATGACATAATGTATCTTTCCTACATCAACTTAGCAACAAAACACCACTGTATTTGTAGAGTTATGTTACTGCTTTCTATGTTTGGTTGTTTCCTCTTTCCTTTTTCCACTTCACTTTTTCCCAATATTAAGAAGTACATTTTATGTCCCAAAAAAGATGTATAGTGAAAATTCCAATAAAATCTTATACTGAGTAAAAAATACAAGGCATTTTCTAAGACATTCTAATTAACTATGTCAATAGGCACTTTAGGACACTCCACACTCTTTCCTAGCTCTTTCCCCTGTTTTTATAGAAATTTTAAGAGCAGGATTTATATTATAAATAAATAGTTTTTAAAAGAGAAGAAAATCCACTATCACTATTTACTGCATAAATGCAGTCAATTTCATCTAAATCACCTACACATCTCAGAAAAGTATTTTGTTATCATTAACCCATTATATTCCTTAGCTTGTCTGGGAGTTATATGACATTTAAGATATTTCATAAATGAGAAACTGAGGCCTAAGGTCATGAATGACTCAGTTGTAAATCCATGAAAAGGCTATCTTTATCTCAGTTATCTTCTTTCTTCTTATTCTGTTACCAGGTAATTAAATATCTGTTTATGCATAGAATTGACTTTCTCCTTTTTCATCACTCAATCCCCAATACCAAAAAAAAAGTCCAATGAGAAGGGTTGTTTGCTATAGTGGAAAGTACCCTCGAATTAGATCTAGATGCTGTCTCTACCCTCTGGTAAATCTTGAGTAGTGTCATCTGCTCTAAGTTGGGATTGACATTAGGAACAACTCATAAAATATACAAAGGATTCTTTCCAACCTCCTCCCCACACATTGTAAAGAGTTATGCAGACCCAGAATCCACAAACTACTATTAATCATGTCTTGGCTGAATAGATCARTTCTTTCCAATGTTCTATTCAAATCTACCTCTTTAGATGCCTTTAAAAAAAACAGGATTTATAGAATTGAGTAAAGCATGGCCTACTGATTAAAGAGGAAACCCAGGCCACTCACCCACATGGGGTCACTGAGGTCCGAGTCTTGCATGCGGATACAGTCCATGCTAATCTCAATCTTGTTTGTTGCACCATTTTCTGATGGTTCATCCACAAAGTTCAAGTCAATGGGCTGAACTGAACATATAGGCCTAACATAATAGAAGAAAAAAATGTGTATTAGCCAATGGGAAGGGACTAAAATATAATCACCAGGCTGGTAAGAATGAGTGCTTTCTACTTCAAAGTTTGCAAGGCTCACTATTTGTTGAGAGTCAGAAGAGTTTGAATCCTGACTCAACCTTTACCAGATAGATAATTTCAAGCGGTTCAAATCTAAATCCTATTTGTTAAATGGGAATCATGACCCCTGCACTCCTCAAAGAATTGCTGGATGGAATGAAGAACAGAAGAGATGGATCAATGATGAAGTATTTTATACCCTATCCTGCATGTCCTCAGTGCTCTGATATTCTCCTCAACTACCTCCTTATTTTTCCATTTATTCAAACCTGCTTTTAATAAAAAACTAGTAATATTTTTTCATAGCAAGACAATAATGATCAACAAAATTGGGCGTTTTACCTTTCTAGGCAATAACTACTTTGTAACATTGGATAAGTCTTCAAGACAAAGGAGTAGATTTTGAGCACCAGAGAGACACTACAGAAGTGATTTTGGGTAATTCAGGAGATCTTTTTAGATTTTCCAAAAATTTCTCTCTTTAGAATAATAATGATCTTTTGGTACTGGAAACTGAACAAACAACCACAGGGTTTGAACATAGAGATAATATTGGAGGCAAGCAATTTTCCTGACAACATTAATTTTTTACTAATTCTAGAAACACACCCTAGTGAGTTATGTTTGCACTATCCACATTTACCTACATTTAATGGTTCAAATACAATGTAATCTTGCTTATTTGATACTTACTGTTCCAGAAAATCCCAGATATGCTGGAAAACCTCTGGACTGAGGAATTCACTTGTCTGTGTGCTCTGGGACATGGTGGATCGGTAATAACTTTCTTTCCAAGAGAAATGCGCTGGGGTTTCTACAAAGCTTAAAAGGACAAAAATGAAGCTAGGATTATATTTCTGCATTTTTGATATAGGATATTTAAATTAAAGCATATTGTATCRAAACATCAAGGAAGTCTATAAAATCACACAGGTATACATAGTACATTTTTCGAGTTGCACAATGATGTTTCTTTAGGAAGCACTGTGGATCCATTTGGCTATAAAATCAGACAGACTTCCCATGCTAGACAATCAAGCCTTTTATCAAATTCGTCTTTCTTAATTAATAATGTTATTATGTGCTATCGTTCCCTGATCCAACATCTGTGTTCTGCAGATTTCAAAAAGAAAATAAACATTCCCTCATTAAATTTGACAGCAAATCTGACCTATCATTAAACCCATTTTATAAGTGTCTCAACTGCTTATCCTGCCTCCAGCAGCTAAGAAGTAGAATCAGAAAATAGAAAAGAGCTCAGAGAACTTCATCTTCAGGTTAATCATCCCTCTCATAACTAAAATCTTAGCATCACACTCAAGGACAATAAACTCAAACTTCTGGACGGAAACTTTCACTTTTAATCACTAGCTCCTTTGATGTGTGTGTGTGTGTGTGTGTGTGTGTGTGTGTGTGTGTGTGTAGGTGGTATTTCTAAATTGGAGTTTAGAATTCTATGTTAGAAAAAGGGATAAGCAAGCAATTGAACACTTTGCAAATTAATAACATTTTTGTTTGCTTCATTTTGCTCCTGGATCTTCATTTTTTTTACTTAAGTATTTTTTTTAAACTCTCACTCCCACACATCTGAAGTGAAACACCAGGTTTCTCAGGTAACGCAGTCTCCAAATCCGAATATTTACATCTGAATATTTATGTGCAAATCATCTTAGTAGTGATTAACTGCAATGATCAGTGGACTGATTTTTACCCCAGGACAAAATTAGCTAAGCTTTTAATCATTATTGCTCATATTATAAAGAGTCATAGTATCCTAAGACAGTTAATCATCATCTTAAATTTTCAAATATATGTTATGGTCTAGTAAGAGAAGATAATAATATTGGATTTATTAATAATGATTTCTAAGCTACCTGAAACAGTGCAATTATCTGCTCAAATTACATATATAGAGAACACCTATTATTTTCCAGGGAGCATCATGGATATTAGAAATAAAAAGTGAATCAGGAATGTCTCACACCTCTGGGAAGTCACAGTGTAGAAATAAGGCAGGAAAACAAGCCTCTGATAAAATGGTTAACAGTATAGCTGGTACTGGGAAAACATAAAAATTGAATATATAACCTTATCTTCAGGCCCAAGGAAATTATCAGATGATGAGGAGAAACTAGCCAGGCCAGGTAAGAACCAAAGGTATGGAGTGGGCATTGTGTAGCAATAGCATAAACAAAATACTAAAATGGAAAATAGTTTGGTGAATGTGAGAAAATGTCAAGTGACTCTATGTTAGTAAGGTATAAAAGTTTGGAACAGATAATGCTGCAGGATGGAGCAACAGAGAAACGTAGAAACAGATGCTATCTTAAAAAGTATTTGTATAATTCAATACTTGTATTGAAAGATATATTTAAATGAACTTTTGAGATAGCTGTATATTTGCATGTAGTTATAATAAATAAAAACACAGAGAGGTGTCTTGTATCATTTAGCCAGTTTTCCCAAGGGCAACATCTTGTAAAACTATCATACATATCACTACATGATAATGACATTGATAAAATCCACCAATCTTATTTAGAAATCCTTAGTCTTATATTCATTGTATGGTGTGAATTTCATTCTATACAATTTTATCACATATGTAGGGTAGTATATCTACCCCCATGCTATTAAAGGATTTAATGCATGAGATGGACACACATTTAGAATATGCTCTGCATTGATCCATGTGGAAGATCTATGGAGGAAGGATTTATATAACATGACAGTTCAAGGCTAAAGTGGGTTATTTAAGAGGTTATTTTACCAACCGAACTAAGATAATAGTAGCATAGAATCAGCATGGGTGGAGAAGTTGGAGACAAATTAAATCATTAGTGAAAAGGGTTAAATGAGTATGGGTTTGTTACTGTTGGAGAGAAATGAAATAGTCAAGCATGTTTCCAGCTTTTTTGAACAGAGGGACTGATGATTCCACTGAAGACAGTTTGAAAATTTGGCTTGGAGAGGAAAGAGATGCTAAGTTGCATGTGGAGTTTGAGGTACCTATGGATATATAAAAAGTAAATTTGCCTGTTTAATAAATCTTAAACTTTAGGCAGAAGAATGGGCCTGATGTTTAGAAACAGAAGTCCTTATCACAGGATGAAAATGAATCCATGAAGGTGGACACAGTGATCTAGGCAGAATATCCAATGAGGAGAGGAGGGACCCCATTTGGAGAATCTATGACCTGGCTAACTAAGAAGTGTAGGGTCAAAAACAGTAATAAAGTTATCAACACTACCAAGGGATTTAAGAAGATAAGACCTGAAAAACAGATTTGACATGAAAAGACCATTAGCCACATTGGTACTAGTACTTTCTGTTTATTAATGATGGCACAAAAATTTTAGTGATTTGAGGGATATACAAAAATATGAAGAAAATGTTCTTTTTTTCAATTTTTGTTTGTTATTATGGATGGACAGAATGCCTTTATTTGTTTATTTTTATGTGGTGTTGAGGATAAAACTCAGTGACTCACATATGCTAGGCAAGTGCTCTGCCACTGAGCTACAGTCCCAGCCCAAAGAAATGTTCTTTTCATATAGAGGTATTATGCCCCAAAAGGTAAATCAAAAAGAATGAAAAATTAAAAGATACTGGAAAGAAAAGGAATGTTGTGGAGAAGAATCTTGGAAGAGGCAGGCAGGAAGGAGTCGACGGCTTAAGTGGAGAATATGGTATTGAATGAAAACCCCTGGATCCCTCATTCCAAGAGGAAGGAAAGAAGTCAAGATGACATGTGGACTTATATGTTTTTATAGAAGACAAATAGAAGTCATGGCTGATGCCTTCAGTTTCTTGATGAGGCAGAAGGTAGGCAAAGTTAGCTGAAATGGCGGGGTCAGTCACTAAGTGGTTGGATGAGAAAGGTAAGGGTTTAGGGTGGAGTTGATTAGGAAATGTGACTTTTTCATGGCCTCAGTKTTCTCAGTTCTGTTTCTCTGGTTTCTATCAGCTATTGAAGTAGGGAAAGACATAGGAGAAAGCACCATACCTATTATTCCTCTGAATAGGTTGTTAGGAAACTGAAATCTAGTTTGGGGTCCAAACTTGGGGGGAGGGGAAGAGAAATGAGGACAGAAATGGAGGAAAGGGAACTAAAAGGTTTTATGAGGTTAAAGAACAGATATATAAGAGAATGAAACGAGAAAGTCAAATGATGAAAATGGAAATAAGTGTCCCTCTCATGACCACATCTAGAAAATGTACCTATAATTAGAAGAGCATCTTGAAACCCACTATCTTTAAATTAAAGGGTAAGTTAATTTTATTTTTAGAAGCAGGGCAGACCTGATTTATGTATTGCAATTAGTAAGTAGAAAGGAAGTGGAAATTAATGTATTCATTACTGAAGTGAAAATTATAAAACATTCAGATGACACTTTCAAATGTGTTTGATTTGCACTAACATTTATCTTTAGACTAAACTGAAGTAGAAATAGAAAAAATAAAAGTAAAGACTGTTCCTAAGCAATAGTAAAAATGAATTATCCAAACCCCAGAATGCAAATCAACTTTCATGTGAGTAGTTATGTACATGACTCCCAAGTCCATTTCCAACACCCAAAGACCTAAACATTCAAAGCATCCAGGACCTTGCAGCCTAGCATCCAGGCAAGCAGTTGAAAATAAATGGAGCAACACAAATTGGATTCTCAGCAATCGCATTATCCAGTGTGATTCCAAAAGACAAATATAAGAGTCTTTAAGTTGGCAGATATTTAATTGTAGTTTCTAAAGAGATTGATAGTTAATGTGACCTAAGTCTTATATAACAAAAAAGCATGGAACAGATTCAAAAAGAGACAAACAGAAGACACTGTCGTGTTTTCTAGAGCAGAAGAGAGAAAGTCTCCATTCCACAGCCACATGCCATTTCTTACACAGATCTCCACAGCAAAGTTCTGGTTTCTCCCTATGCCATTAATTTATGTGACTCCCACCCCATTTCTGTCTGACTCCCAAAGACCTTGCTTGTATTTAATGTCACTTCTAGCCAGCTATGAAACCTTGGGTGATCCCCTACACTCTTCTAATCTCAGCTTCCTAGAAAGCGACACAAGGGTGAGCATCTGTACCCTGCTACCTTTCCACTCTACCCCGTCCTCAGTGCCCTCTTCTCTAAAAGCACTTCATAGACCCTTATTTGAACTATACTCTTTCTCCTTTGAACTTTCCCAAACTTTTGCTTTACCTCATTAATGCTAGTTTATTCTATTTTGCTTGTATAACAATTAATCTACTGTAGAGGATTTTAAGTAATTCGAGGATAAAATCCCTCTCAAATCTGTCGTATAGTTTTATGGCTGCTTGAGGCTCCGGTGGCATGACCAAGTTAGTTAATGTATTGGAACCTTGGTGTCTTTAACTCTGCTTCCTGCAGAGGGTGGTTGAGAGGCTGACTTAAAATAATGTGCTATTCATTTTTTATATAGTGTCTGGTCACAAAGGCACTGGTTCTCTTAGATCAAGTGCTACATAATTTGTACCTGATCAATTAAACTACTAAGGATGTATTAAAAAGGTCTGTTAAGGTTGTAATCATGCCATATGAAAGTAATTGTATTAGAAAACTTGTATCATCCTTCATTTCTCGTCAGTCAAACCGTCCTCCATCTATGGCCTTGAGCCAAAAATGATGCTCCCATTGCCTCTCTTTATTCTGGATCATCTTTGTCTCAGACTTGCCACAACAACTGGCAACTTTCCCCTTAGGGCCTTAAGCTCTCAAACAGGATTTATTACAAACAAACAAACAAAAACAAAACAAAACCCCCAAAACAAAAAAAATAGCAACAAAACAAACAAAA